TCAATAGGGGGGCATGCTAAATCCAAAAGCACGTGTTATATAATTTCCTGACCCTGACAAGCCGGCTATATCCACTACTACCGTGTGAGACAACGACCTTGGACCACCAAGGTGCCATTCCAAGCGCCAACAACAGCTCTCCTATGCGGACCGTTTCTCCTCGGGTCGTGGTGTCCGGGGCCAAATTAACCTGACAATGGGCACAGCATTAGTTTTTGCGCCGCATAGCGGATAACGCATGAGTGCATACGCACATTTAGATTAGAGGCGCCACAGTAATGTTACCTCTTCGGTCGTCGCACACCCCCTTATATCCGTGCATTTGATGCTTGACCTTGTAATTTTTTAGCCATCTCCCCGGCGCCTCTCTTCCTGCATCGCTCCCTCGACAATATCAGTATCTCTGCATTGGGATAACAAATGTGTAAAACATCGGGAAATGGATATTCGTGATCTCACCTCAAACCCTAGTTGCTTAGCGCTGGTCATCAACACGGTTCTGTAGTCAAACGATGGTGGGTTTCTACATACAATACCATCCGCATCCTTGGCGCTGGGATCAATATGCGTGTAATCATCGATGGCTTCCATGAACGTCTGTGCGTTTTCCGCAGTCGTCCTGTGGGGTGTTGCCTCCGAATGTACAGCATAAATAAGTTTCACGAAAATGAACGGGAGAGGTTCGTCACGTGCAAGTCCTAACAACACGCGTGCTTCTAACGCCGCGCGCGTTCGGTGCTGCCGGGGACTGCAGCATCCGCTGCCTAGGAACGGGTCTAGTGAGCGCAGCAAACTCTCCGCACCAATTGCGGCCCCTCATTGTGCGAATGTGGCCCCTGTTGTTAGAATGTTGCATTTGTCTAGCCTGCAGTGGGGTACTCTATAGCGAGTACAGCCCAAATTAGGGTTTCCTATATGTGCTCACCAACCTGCTAGTGCAAAACACTCTTTCCTGTTCTAACTTTGTGCTACTGATTCTTGACACCTGTGACCTCCATAATAGCGTACACGGTTTTAGAGTGCTTGCGGATGAAATAGCTGCGCGAAATACGCCTGCGCGGCAACAATTATCCCTCCATGAGCGCTGCTGAACCAACAGAGTCGGACAGCATACTATATGGCTACCTACCACGCCCGTTTAACATCTCTCAAAGTTGTGTTACCACGTTTAGGGTTTTGGCCGAACCATCCCCGACGTTATACTACTTTGTTCAGTGAACCGCACTTGTTTCCTATTAGGTGTACTGGCGCCATACAAGTACATGTTACAAACGTATATTAACGGTTCCTCCTGCGCCACACCAAAATCAAAGAATTCATGGTAAGTTACAATGTTTTTTGGACCCATACATATTGTGCAATATAGTGTCATCACTAGCCAGTGTTTGCAACCACATACTAGTGGAATGTGCACAACAAAACCAAACGTTCACATTACATAGAGCACAATGCCATTGATGAAATGCATTAAAGCGCCTACGACAATAGTACGCACATAGCACACATAGGTTTTTCCAAACAGCCTGTGGGCATTATCAATAGCCACCGCAAAGTCAGATTCCATACTCTAAGTCGTCGAACATGCTTGAGATGTCGCACACGTGCGACTGTACGCTCACTTCTTCCGTCGCTGTCGAGGAGAATAACTGTGAGGATTAATCCTCCCAGTGGCGTCTGCGCTTAACTGGTGTGCAAACGAGACGGTCAACCAGTGCCGCGTTCTCCAGCCGAGATAGACGCGGGAAGCATTGTACAGACACTCCGTGAGAGGTGGCGAACCGATTATTTGCAGCTGATGCATATCGCAGAACACGGCGACGGGTCCTCTCGTCTCCAGCTACAGGCCCGACGCTCACCGTGTCGTCTATAGTATCAGTGTCACCATTGACGTCGTTGCTGGATGGGTCTTCTTGCGCGGAATCAGACACCTCGTCGTCCCAAGTGGCATACTCTTGGGCGTCCAGGAGCTCACTCGGTAGGTCAAGGAGATCCAGCTTGCGTTGCAGCGATATCAAGCTCTCGACAAGGTGCTCTATTATCTCCAGGTGCATATCATTTTTGATAGTGTGCAGCAGGGACTCCCATGCGTCTGGCACGCATCTCGTCCTTCAGAACGTGAGCTAGACATGGGTTGTAGAGACACCCAACAAAGCATCGTACGCCGATTGAAGAGTGTTCACTGCAGAAGGGCGGTTCTGAATCCATCCGACGGGGGGCGGGCCGCGTTTGATTCCAAGCATCTGGTGGTCTAACCACATACAGCGGAACTCCGACTTGAAGAAAGCGACAATGCCCTGCAGGAGCGGGTTCCCAAGTGCAAGTACTTTCTTGTGCAGCTGCACGATGCGGACGTGGGTTGGATTCTGTACATCGAACCCAAACTCGGTCACACGTTCGCCCTCGCCCCATGTCAACTGGTGTCTCTTGCTGCATACAAGAACCACGATGTTGCGGTTCTTGCCGAGTCTGACGGCGTTCAGACCAGTCATGAGCATGGTAAAGAGCTGCACACGGAGAATCACAACACTGTTAGTGTATGTACGATGTACTCATCCACCCACAAGACACCACGGTGAAAGTTACCTCTGAAGTGATGCCACCTGACCGGGTGCGACGCACATACGCCCACTCGGATGCATTGACATTTGTCCCTGTGTTCAGTCCTTCCCTATCACGGCACACCACAATTGGCTTGAAGCGTACTGTGCCGTCCGCGGAGTACATAAGGCCAACTGACAGGCGCTGAAGGCTCTTGTCCATCCGCACGCCATCTGCATGCAGAAAAGGCTGCAGGCCAGGGTACACCGTTGCCTCGGCGAAACAGAAGATGTTACTGGGGTGAAGACCCAGGCCTGTAAGGAGCTTACGCAGCGCCACCATTACAAGAAAGGTTGGTTTACGGTCTGATTATTATGCCTGTTTTAGGTGATTATGTAAGGATAAGAATGGCGCGGGAGTAGATTAGCCTTAGAGCACACCATTCATCGTGTGGCGACAACGAGTGGCCTAAAGTCTCCCTTACCAATGTCGGATTTCAGAATGACGTGAGTGGCCTTTCACAAGGATTCCGACAACACGTGGGTTCTTCGTACAGGCTCGCACACTTTAATAGCTTGTGGCCACAACATTTGTAACAATATCTTATTGGCCCGAGGTTGTTGTTCGCGCTGTTGGAAATCCTGCTACATAGTCATTATGGTGTGCGTGTGTGTTGCAATTGTCTCTGTATGCGAACGTGAGGGATTCGGGTGTCGGGTTATCGATACTTAGTGGAATTACCGGACAATGTGTTCCAAGAGAGACATTTTGTTCTCAAATAGTTTTGTAACGAATCAAGTGACCCTCAGCAAACAACCATGCAGGCATCCACGTGCCACGAAGATGGCGACGGTGAGCTCACATGTAACCTCGTTTGGTGCATCATTGAACTCGCCAAAACACGATTCGAAGCGGTGGTAGGCCAATTTCGCTAATTCCCGCCTACGCCTGCTATTATCCAGCAAGCCGGCTATGCTGGAAGGTTGTGCTATAAGCCCGCACCGAATTTAGGGCATGATTGTGGCTTCTCTCTCTCTCTCTCGAATAACCTTACCCAGCTTAGTTACATATACTGATTCTCCATGCCTCCGAAGACTAAGGCTGCCGCCATGTGAAGGGTCGTAAGGCCGATGCGATAGATCTGCGTTCATCTCCTCACAAAAATAAGAAGCCGGGGTATACTGTAGCGGAGTCGCTTGCTAGTAGACGACTGAGGTTGCGCGACGCCGGCCGACCAGCGGCACCGGTTAAGTTCCCGACGACATCGTCAGCCACGTCGTGGGGATCGCGACTCGACGACGAGGAGGAAGAAGTGGAGCATACGCCTAATGACGAGATCGCGAAGCTTCTGGCCACGCCGGGAAAGTCCCGGTTCAAGGAGATCTCGGTGTATAATCATCTTGGAGTGGGCGCACAGGTGCCACCTAGCGACGCCGCCACTATAGCGGACCAGAGCTACCTAACAGACCCCGTAATAGACTTCCACAACTTGTAAGGAACCTTCAACCCTGCGTAGATTCTAGTGACTTTCCGTGGTGAAGAATGCGCAATCCCGTTCTGACGGACTTGTTTGTTGTCATTGTGTCAACCAGATTACTGAACATACGCTATACAACATGCCCCAACGGGAAGACATGGGTCGCCCTGGACAGTAAGGCGTACGCGTATGCTCAAAGTTTCGGGTAGTCGTTCGGGAAGGGACCTGGCCCATCCGTCTTCACCTACGACTACCTCGCTGTACCTATGTTTTTTGGGTATGGTATAAGTGGCTTGTTGTGTCGGCATGCATGTGATGCGATGGGCTAGTGTTTATGTATCATCCCCTAACCACGGTGACGTTGTGCGCTCGGTGTACTGTAGTGTCAGAGGTCCACTGGTGATCCCCGATTGATCCTAGGTAAGGGTTACAGGCACGTTGGCCTGGGGGGTTATGGGCGCACTGACCCGCTACTTAACAAGCCTTTTTATCCCAATGGTCTAGTGGTTGGGATTCTGACATGGTATCAGAGCGAAGGTATCGGGTTTGAATCCCGGTGTATGCACTTCGGGCATCCCAGTGCGGGGGGGTGTCAGAGGTCCACTTGTGATCCCCGATTGATCCTAGGGAAGGGTTACAGGCACGTTGGCCTGGAGGGTTATGGGCGCACTGACCCGCTACTTAACAAGCCCTTTTATCCCAATGGTCTAGTGGTTGGGATTCTGACATGCAGGAGTCACTACTCACTCGTGGTCGTCACCAACCCGAAATACATCGTGAACAGAGAAAAGCCCGAAGATGGTTCGCTCGGCGTGAAATTCATACTATTCGACAGCGAGAGCCGGCGCTTGAGCACGATGGAGGCATTCGACAACACTAAGACGTATGCTTGGGTTTTTGCATTAGATGCTCCTCACCGACTCAAGACCTTGGGGCAACATTATGTACGTGACTAACCGCTTATCGTTCGTGCAGGCTCCTACACATGATGGTACTTCGTGACCATCCGGACGTGGATGGTGAGTCGGCCCGTAAAGTTCTGGCGGAGGCCTCATGCAAGATCATGAAGGTAAGGATATGGAACTAGTAACTATATCTTGTGCACCGCTTGGATTATCACCCGTACTTATATGTACCCCGCATTTGTTGAACCGTGTGGTGTCCATGTATACAGGATTTCCAGATTCCCAAGCAGCCAAATTCATGGGATTGTGGGGTGTACACAGGCCAGTTCCTTGAGGCATTGGTGTCGACCAGATTCGTTTTGGTTGCCGAGTGGATCTCATTCAGAGGTGTCTCTGCCTTGCGGTACAGAAGACTGATGCGGTTCGACATGTGTCGGCACTTAGAAGGGACGCTGCTACCCCAGCTACAGAAAGAGGGGCTGCGAATTCCGCTGCAACTAGCCCCCAGGCTGTCGAACGAAGGGTTCTTGCTGGCAGCGCCAACTGGCGGTCTGAGTAGCGGAGGTGCGTGAACACAAGGAGAAGATTGCAGTACTGGAACACGACATCGAGATGCTCACTACGAAGATTGAGTTTCTGGCCATCACCAAGGGTGTCTCATCCGACAAGCTAGACGCAGGAGCACGTTCACACATGGGAGCTGCCCAGGACGTGATGGGCGTCACTAAGACGCACGATGGGGCGGTGGTATCCGTGAATGGCAATGTGGAGCAGCCTGCGGACGCTACGTGCATGCCAGTAACGGGAAGCGGAAGTGGTGGTCGTGTTGGTGCACCCGTATGTGCCCCTCTGACACTGGCTCTACCGCGTCCCACAGGTATTGCTGTGGAGACACCCATGCAGCAAGTGCTGGCGCTGCACGTGTCGGGCCAGGCCACATGCCAGAGTACACCGGCCCAGCAGGGTGTGGCCGGGCGAGTCACCGCGCTTACTCCAGCCCTTGCAAGAGCTGTAGCCGCAACGCCTAAGGGCAAGAGAGCCTCGACCAGTGGATGGACGGGTGTGATGTTCAACACGGAGACAGGCAATTACTATGTGCGCATCATCACCAAGGGCAAACAGCAGACCCGTCTGGGGTCTTACGACGATAAGGACGAGGCGGCTTATGCGTACGCAGCTGGCGCGGTGGTGCTGCGTCCGAACCAGCAAATCAACTCTACTATAGAGCTCACAGCTGAGGAGAGGGAGGCTCTTGCTGGCTGCACCAAGGACCATCTGAAGCTGCTGGTCAGGCACCGGCGTTGGAATCGCTAGAGGGAGTGGAGCGCTGCATTGGAGGGGTTGCCAGTTGCTCCGCAGCGACGGGCTGGAGCACGACGCAGGACACGGGATACCAGGAGGGCGGTGCAGGACGTTGAGGAGGTTGATGCCAGGGGCGATGAGGATGCTGGTGGTTCCCAGAATGACGTGGAACCTGATGATGAAGAGTTAGACGAAGAGTATGATGATGATGAGGAAGATGAGGAGGCATATGAGGATGGAGACGACGGCGAAGATGTCTTGTCGGATGGGTGATGCAGGCCAGATAACACATGTACGTGTTACATCGAAAACAAAATCTGCATAATATGGGCACCGTTTCCTGTTGTACGCCTGTGTCTGGGTGTTATAATCCGTTGTGGGACGTTGGTGTCGTTTCCTTGTTCTATGTAGATCAAAGCATGGTATGGCGTTCTATCAAAGCAATGTACTGCTTCTATCTGCATGACTGAAATGGTTTAAGCGAGTTGCTGGAAACACGGGCATAGACACGGTATACCCAAACTGACAATTGGTTAATCCTCAGTTGTAAGTTACACGTGCTGATGTGGGTTGTTGTGTCCATCAACATAACGCTGGCACGACACCCAGAATCTCATGTGTGGCGCGGGAAGTTGTGCGATCTAATGCGCGTATGGCGTGTTACCACGTGTACGGATTCATGCCGTGGGGGATGGCCATTGGGGGGCAATGTAACGCAATCAGTTAGGAAGAGCGATTTGGTCGCTAATCAAGGTGTGGGAATGGCCACAGCGGACGTTTTGATTCGGTCACTTCCGTGTGACATTGTATGTGGGGGTGCGTATGAGTTTCCCACTGTTAACTCAACCCGGCAGTCATGAGCTCACGCGGTGAAGGACGTTCCGTGAGACCCAGAGCGGCTCCATCTTACCTCGTTGAGTCCTACCAATTCTCGCTTGGCAAGAAAGGTAAAGGAGAAGCCAAGCGGAAAAGAGACGATGGTACCAACGGCCGCAACAAAAAGGCGAACGTCACACCGGAGAAGGAAGGTACACTGCTTGTTGGTGAGGATGATGAGGACATATGGTGTTGACCGATTACGCTACATACTCGTGGTATCGTCAAGGGCCTAACACATGGGACATTGATTTTTGCTTCGCATGGGAGACGCAACGGTCTTTGCCACAGCCGGTCAGCACGAAGCCCGTGGTGGACGGGGACAATGTCGGAACTACTGTGAACGACGAGACTGCCGTACATAACGCCGACCTAGATGTGCAGAAGAAGCATCTGATCGAGGACATGATGCAGGAGGAGGCTGACGCGGAAAAGGCTGGAGAGGCTGCTAGCGAGTCTTCCAGCGGTGACCCTCTGAAGGGTGCTGCCACGGCTGTCAAATATAGGAGGAGTACGGCCTAGGCTTAGTAGCCTAGGCCACAGTAGGACTAGAACGAGGAGGCGCCAAGTACAAGATAGGAACATGTGCACGAACAGAATTGAGAAGGGATGATTGAACTAGCAAGCAGCATGATACAAATAGCAAACCCTAAGGGGCTGTACTCACTATTGAGTGCCCCACTGCAGGCTACACAAACAACATATTCTGACAACGACCGCTACTGCCATGACTTGTCAGCCAAATGGAGATGAGCGCCCTCCAACTGCGGTCGGCATCGTTACTCGTGAAGAGTACAATGCATTGCGGGAAGGGCAGGTTGATAACACAAAGGCTCTGGCTCGTCTGGAGTCCCACATTCTGTCGGCGATATCCGCGGGAGCGTCACGAAAGCGGAAAAGGTCCTCCGGAGAGGCATCGAATGGGTCCGGATGCGCTGGACATAAACGGACACGAGAGACACGCGACAACCCGGACTCGAGCAGCGATAATGAAGAGCCGCCCGCAAAGGTGCAAAAGCACAAGACAACAAGCAAGTCGCCGATGGTACAGGGCCTGCTTGACCAATTGAGTGAAGGCGATGCGTGGAAGGTGAGAGCCATGTGGTGCCTGAGGCGATGCAACGTGACATCTGTGTACATAGAGACTTACTTGCAAGTGGTGTTTGTGTGGGCAGAGCATGTGCGCCCTGGTACGGAAAGAGATGTTCATCGATGCGCCCAACAAGGAACTGGATTTCTACCCAAGCAGGGACGACAAGGCTGTGGGACTGAGCGCTGTTGTGTCAAGTCTTCCTCCCAAATCGGCAACATTGGCGCTAGACTCCTGTAGGACAAGAGGTGCCGACCTGAACAAGTCACTGTCGGAATGGAAGACAGGAGCTGCGGGGCGCGCGAAACATTGCTCTGCCCAGGCTGGGGCTCTTCCGTCACGCAAAGGATCGTGCAAGTTCTTGGGCTAGAAAGAAGAAACATACAGCGAGCGAGGTCAGGCTGAAGTACGGCCCCCCTTTGGACGACGAGGGTGAGTGTATTGGCGTGCAGATGTAGAGGAGCATGTGCAAGGGTGTCGGTTGAATATCTATTTACCGCACATGTTATGGTTTGTTGTTCGGTGTAGCTGAGCAGACATTGTCGAGGTGGCATTTCAGCAAACGGGATAGAATCCCGTTCGCGTCCGCGGCATTCGCCGCGTGCGTGATCTCAGCGTTTGAGGGAAAACGTGGAGAGGATGTGACGCTAAAGCTATATCATCTAGCGTGGCTCGAGCACGTGGTGAGTTTAGATTTCGTCCAATAGGTTTACCAATACTTTTTCGATGTACTAGTACTAATTGACCCCAATGTTACCTCCCAGGTAACCTACGCCATTGTCACCTGGGACGATCGAAAGGGGAAATTGACTAATTCAGCGTGCGACAACGGCGCATCTGTGAAGCGCCTGCAGTTACTGGCATACGAGGCGGTGGCGGAGGCCATTGGCCGCCTACAACCGACCTATGATGCGGAGCGCAAGTCATGGGCTTGGGGCCCGCATAAGTTCCGCCTGTCCTCCAGTGGTCTCGAATGTCTGCTGCCAACGACGGAGACGTCACACCTGAGCGAAGAAGGAGGCGGAGGCGATGCATCTGGCAGTGAATCGGATTGAACAATGTTGTCGTGATTGAGTGATCGTCGTAGCGTGGGTGAGGATGGGTGAGTATGGCCCAGCAGGATGGCAGAAGCACTACTACGTGTAGGGTAATGAGTGGGGGGAGATTGTATTGTATTGTGTGCTGTAGCAAGTAGCAAAAAGACACCAACGGAGTTGTGCGAGATGGCATAGTTTAGATTGTGTGCCGTTATGGTAAAATAAAAGAAATGATTAACACCTACATCTTGGTGCAGATGAACCAGTGTCGATGGCAAGCAAGACATTGTATCGTGGGTCGCGTATGGGCAATTGGAGACACATATCCGTACTGAGCCACGTGGCCTGAACCGATAGGTTCGCGCCGCGAAAGGTGAGCAGCACGTGGTGCGTACTAGTTGTGCCACATGTACGACCACGATGTGGTAAATGGCGTATCATATGTGGGCGATGAGAACAACTGGCGGTTCATAAGTCGAGCCGCCCATTAGGGTACGTCTAGAGTCAACGCCGCAGACGCCCAAGTGGCGTAAGTTATGGTGACGTGACAAGTGGGCTCGATGTACTGCGTACATTTGTATGCTCGCGATGGACGGCTTCTTGCGATGTGGGGCTGGGATTCTACTGTTGGGTACAAGGGTAGCATGGTGGCGGACAATGGTTGGTAGTTATGGTTGATCTGATGGCTCGGCGCCGAGCTACGCGCATGTGTGGCGGGTCGGTACCGCACATCGTAATGCATATCGACGGTCGACACGTGGAATATAGCGAGGTGTACTGGTGTCGGTCAACCAGTACGGAAGTGACGAATGTCAACATATCGTTTGACGATGGTTTCACGGATGAGGCATCTGGGCTGTCCAAATGTATGGTACCATGGGGGACAGGGGGCGTAATTTCATTCGTCGGTGCATTCGGTCCAGGTGGCACAATTTGTTTGTACACGTGTCCCTGGTCAAGCCACGTGGCAACGTCACTTAGATGTCACATTTGTGTTACCTACGAGCAACTGTAGCATTTGCCCTGGTGGCCGTAAAGCAATGTTGAAGTGACATTGTGTAGGAGTGACATCACCGCTGCGTTGAAGTTACATCGAGAGCCACGCACACGTGGCGTTCCTGGTTGCAGGGAAGTCACATGAAAGTCACTCTGCCGCAACTTTGAAAGTGACCCGTGCAAAGGAGCGTTTGACCTGTACTTTTTTTTTTACGGATGGAAAGTTGCGGAATGACAACTTGAAAGTTGCGGCGCAGTTACTTTCTGGAGGACACACTTTCGCGATGCCTCATTGTGCCTCTCCTCGTCCTACCCCCTCATTGTGCCTCTCCTCGTCCTGCCCCCTCATTGTGCCTCTCCTCATCGCGGCTCCGCTCCCATCATCGCGCCTTCCCTTCATCACGTCACCCTGCCCTTCCCATCCTTTCCCCTCCATTCCCATCCTTGCATTCTCTTTCCTTCTCTTTCATCCCCATATTATCCCTTCCCTTCCCTTCCATTCTGTTCCCTTCCGTTCCCTTCCATTCCCTTCTGTTCCTTTCCGTTCCCTTCCGTTCCCCCTCCCCTCCCCCTCCCCTCCCCCTCCCCCTTTCCTCCCCCTTTCCTCCCCCTTTCCTCCCCCTTTCCTCCCCCTTTCCTCCCCCTTCCCTTCCATTTCATTTCCTTCCCCACCCCTCCCTTCTCTTCCCCTCCCTTCGCTTCCCCTCCTCGCTTCCCCTCCCCTCCCTCCTGCACTTCAATACCCTCGATTTGGTGCTCTCGTATGTAAAAAGCATTTTCTATCCCCCTTTTCAACCCTACCCTTTGCTTCCCTAGATCCTTCCGTCAGCCCTTCACATCCGTTCCCTTCTCAGACCATGGTCTTGAAAACTTCACACAACAAAATTAGCTTGCCTTTTAGCAGATGAAACAAAAAATATGTGTGAAGTGAGGAGGGAGTCTCAGATTTCAAACTAGGCAACCTCAGGGTTCAGGAAGTTGAACGGGCATAGGTACATTTCCAGGAGTTGATACAGCCCCAGTAAGGATTTGATATTGCTTACAGCTGTAAGTGCATATCTAATTTATTCCTAGACCAACAGTGATCAAAGAGGCCGTTTATACCATGTTGTGACGGCATCTCTTAGTGTCACGCCTTTGTCCATCAGTGAGTCCCATTTTGGGCTGGTCAGAGCGCAGTGCGCGATTGCGGGTGTGACAAACGTGCTAACGGTGGGTCCGAGCTCCATGGAAGCAGCATCCGTGAGTTGGATCATCTGCCATGCCACATTCAGCACCGCCCTGTGCTCCTCAGGCGCGCACACAGATGCTTCAGCTGCTGCTGCACCTGCTGACCCCCTCACCCTTCTTCCCTTCCCTGCTCCTCCACCACCCCCCTTTCCTTTCCTCTTCCCACCCTTCCCGTTTCCAGGACTGTCCCCTTCCTCCACAGTACTCGTCAACCCAATTTCCAAACTCCCCCCCTTATAATCACCTCCAGGAAACAACGTCCCTCCTGACTGAATCTCCGCCAGTGTGGACCGGTCGTGGCGCCAGCTCTGGCTGGTGACGAGCTTGAGCAGGTCGGTGCCGCCCTCCTTGGCGATCTGGCGCAGGCAGGCGGTGGCCTGGGCCTGGTTGGCGGGCAGCTGGTTGCCCAGCATGAGCGCGCGGTAGTCAAACAGTGAGTTCACCGCCAGCACGGGCGACGACACGAAGCGTAACGCTTGGTGCGGGAAGAAGCAGCGCCACTGGTTGGCGGGGGACATGGCTGTGTGAACGGTGGGGTGGGGGGAGTGGGAGGGGGATGGGACTGGTGAGTGGGTTGGCTGGTGAGATATGGATGAGAGTTAAGGGGAAGAGGAGGGGAGCAGCAAGGCGGCTTTAACAGCTTGGATGCAGAGCGCTAGTTGACTCACTCTGACTGCAGCGCCAGTTGACTCACTCTGACTGCAGCACCAGTTGACTCACTCTGACTGCAGCACCAGTTGACTCACTCTGACTGCAGCGCCAGTTGACTCACTCTGACTGCAGCGCCAGTTGACTCACTCTGACTGCAGAGCCAGTTGACTCACTCTGACTGCAGCGCCAGTTGACTCACTCTGACTGCAGCGCCAGTTGACTCACTCTGACTGCAGCGCCAGTTGACTCACTCTGACTGCAGCGCCAGCTGACTCACTCTGACTGCAGCGCCAGTTGACTCGCATGTTGTGCAGCCCCACCGTGGCCTTCACCATGCCTGCAAACGCCCGCCGCTTTGTGCGGTCCTCCGCGTCTGGCGGGCAGGAGGGCGGGTAGGAAGGCGGGCAGGAGGGCGGGTAGGAAGGCGGGCAGGAGGGCGGGCAGAAGGGTGGGCAGGAGGGTGGGCGAGGGGGTGGACGAGGGGATGGGTGGGCAGGTGAGGTGGGGCTGCTTGCAGTTGAGTGCGTTAGTGCGACCAGCAGGACCCATCAATGCTCACTCGCAGGACACACCAATGAGCTCTACCAGTGAATTCCAGGCATTCATACTTGCTTGTCGTGCTCTCTCTCGCCAACAGAGTTACTTGCTCCCACCCACGAAGAGCCCCGCGCCCATGATGCACTTGACGAGCGCACTAACAGCGCCACTTGCTGCCACCCATACCAGCCCCGCTCACCCATTCCAGCCCCGCTCACCCATACCAGCCCCGCTCACCCATACCAGCCCCGCTCACCCATACCAGCCCCGCTCACCCATACCAGCCCCGCTCACCCACGAAGAGCCCCACGAGCAGCCGCAATTGTCCTCATCCCGCCCACGCATACCATCCCCAGCGCTCACCCACAAAGAGCCCCGCGTCCATGATGCACTTGACGAGCGCGCGCGGGAAGAGAAGCGGCAGCAGATCGCACAGCGTCACGACCGCCTGCCCGCCCGCCGAACTGCCCGACAGTAGAATGCGCGCTGGTGCCGTCATGCCCCTGCTCTTGCGCAGATCTGGAGGAGGGAGATGTTTGTTGGGGGGAGAAGGGGATCACCGCCTGCCAGCCCACGGACGTGCCCGACAGAAGAATGTGCGTGGGCGCTGTCATGCCCCTGCTCTTGCGCAGATCTGGAAGGGGGGAAGGGGGATATTGTCATGCCCCTGCTCTTGCGCATATCTGCCCAGACAAGAGCAGGATGGGTGCATGGAGACACGGGAAGGGGAAGGGCGGTGGTGGTGGGGGGGAAGGGAAGGGGACTTCACTTGGCGGTAGAGCGGAGGGGCCAAAACAGTGGTGTTTTTTTCTTTCAGCAGGATGCAAGCACTTGGACACATGCTCTAGTGGGCTTCCTGACAAGCAGAAACAACTCTATGCATCGAGGTGCCCCACTGAAGATTGAATGGATGACGCACCGCTGAGAATAGCGTGGATGACACACCGCTGAGAATAGCGTGGATGACACACCGCTGAGAATGGCGTGGATGATTCGCCAGCCGTCCATATGAACGCCCTCGCTGCCGTTGCCCGCCGCCTTGTACCCCGCGCGGCCCGCGAAGCCCCCTCCGTCGCAGTAGACGGGGCGCACGAGGTGCCAGTTGTAGAAGGTGGGGTTTGTGGCGGCATCCGCACTCGTTATGCCGCGCGGGGGCTGCGCGCATGGGGGGGTGGGGGCGGGGGATGCGACCCGCAGGGAGGAGAGTGGGAGGCCAGGGGTGTAGAGAGGGGGGAGAGAAGGAGCAGGTGTCGGAGCTTCGGATTCGCGCACCAGCCGCACCGGTTGCCAGCTAAGGAGAGATGGGACGGCGGGGAGGGATGCGACGGCGGGGAGGGATGCGACGGCGGGGAGGGATGCGAGGGCGAGGAGGGATGCGACTGTTTGGAGGGTGCAGGATGGCAGGAGGGAGTTGGAGTAGTCGAATGGAGAGGAAGGCGGATGGAAGAAAGGAGAGGAGGGAGGGAGGGAGGATAAGGGAACGGGACATTGCGGAAGGGGGACCTGAACGTAGACATCATAGCGCGGATGGACGAGGAAGGTTACGGCGCCATGAGCAACTGACAGCATTTGCGGCATGAGTAACTCACAGCATCGGGGTCGCCGTTGTCGTTGCTCGGCGCCTTTCTGCTGCTGCGGCTCCCTGTGGGCATGCCGTTTTGCAAGCCACGTGTGGAGCCGAGTTTGGACTTGGAGCGCGCCAAGCACTTGTCGAGCGACGCGCACCACCCGCCGCCCGGCAGATGGATGTGCCACCACCCACTCGCCTCGCCGTAGCCCTCCCGGTACTGGTACCCAGGCGGACTGGGCGCGGGTGGCAGCAAGCGGCGGGAGGAAAGAGGGGAGGGAAGCAGAAGAGGGGTGGGAGGGTAAGAGAAGCAGGGCACCACCCGCCGCTCCAGCAGCGGATGTGGCAGCAGCAGTAGCAGCGGCCAGCTAGATCGGTTCAGGCTCGCTGCATACAAAGTCCGAGGAGAAAAGATGGGTGTGGGGAGGGTGAGTACCGTGTGGTAGGGCGGAGGGCGAAGAAGCATGAGAAGGGTGAACAATCATTAACGGGATTGCGAGAGAGGCTGTACTACCGTGTGAGAGGAGGGAGGGCAGAACGTGCCGAGGGAAAGGTATGCGGGTGATTCGAGTTTGCCACTTGCACGGTGCCTCGCGATAAGCAGAGCGCAATTTCGTCGAACCAGCTGCTACGAACCCCTCTCGCTCGCCCACTCGGCGAGTTTCATTGCGCAGGCGTCGTACCTGCCGTCGAGGCACTTGGCGTCGTACCTGCCGTCGAGGCACTTGGCGTCGTACCTGCCGTCGAGGCACTTGGCGCCGTACCTGCCGTCGAGGCACTTGGCGCCGTACCTGCCGTCGAGGCACTTGGCGCCGTACCTGCCGTCGAGGCACTTGGCGCCGTACCTGCCGTCGAGGCACTTGGCGCCGTACGAGTTGTTGGGGAGCAGGAAGTATCGCGATTGCGGCGTTGATCCAACTGCTTGACCGCCGCTGCTTGTGGAAGTCGCTTGAGGTTTCGAGCTGGTGTATGTGTCTTGAACTGCCGCACTGCGCGCCGCTGCGTGCCTCACAGCGCTCCACGAGAGCGCGCACACCAGCAGCCAGCAACGCGCCCATTGGCTCGCGCGACAGGCCGAGGACCTTCGTGTCAGCCCGTCTATAATCCGAACCGTCGCAGCTCTTCGATCTACTCTTGCCGCCATGGGGGATCTTTATGCAGTCCACTATGCCCAAGGTGCTTTTGTGACGCGATGAGGTGCACCTATGATGCCAGCGAATGGGTCATCGTTCTTCGTTCTACGTTAATCTCAAGCTTAAAATGACAAATCGAACTACTATCGCGAAATCGGAAGAGGTGGCTTGCTATGGTTTAGAGTGAAGGAGCGGATGAATGTGACGTGACGCATCCATCAAGGCGACGAGGGGGATCAAACATATTTGTCGAGGTAGCAACGCCCTGTGGCTGTGACACCAACTTGCCGCTGTACTTTCTTCCAGCGCACCAATCCTGGACTGCGGCGGGCCCTTCCTTCCAGCCCTTGACAGACCGTGGCCGACACGAGGGAGGGCGGCTCGACGAGCTTGACTGTAGCACGCTCCATTGCACTCGAGTGCTTGAGTTGGCTTAGCACAAGTCCGTCGAAATTGGTCCTGCGGTGTTCCGGGCGTTTGCACCAGCAGTAGGGGATTTGCCCTACCTCAACCCCGCTTGTCTCTAGTCTAGGCCGCCTCAGCCACGAAACTGAACGCATGTCCTGCTTGCCCTCGCGGCCCGAACCTCCAATCAGACCGCGACTCAAGTGCCACTGCCACGATGAGGTAAGAGAAGCGGGGAGGTACGCCACCGTGGCCCATTTTCTGAGACTCGCCGAATATGGCGCAAAGCTTGATACAACTTCAAAAACTACATTAGACTTACTGTTACGGGTGCAATGAATCTAAGTAGCTAGAATTGCACTAAGGCGTCAAACGAGTACAAAATGTGAGCGAAGGCATGAGCGAACATTTATATGCGAAACATGCAAACGGTAACGCGGTGCATGCGAGCTAGCTGTTGGAAACAATCGGTCCTAAAGCGCATCTGTCGTGTCGAAACACTAAGACACAAAGTGAAGCAACGCTTATCGAGGAAACCAGCGAGTCAACTCTCGGAGGTTGAAGTAACAGCTGGAGGTTACGCGAAGGTCAAAGGTCAGCGACCTTTGACTTGACAAATGCAGCGCGACATCAAGGACACACAACTGACTCGACATTGAGCAGTTGCCCGAGTCGCACTGTATCGAAACCGCATCAGCCAACAGTAAATCAGTTATCATTCGTATCTCTTCATATTCCTTGTACTCTTATATAAACCTTTGTATTTGTTTGCTTTAATCAACTCACTTTGTTCTCACATACTAGTACAAGGTGGTTCAAGGTCTCATCATTTAACGCTTCCGCTACCACATTACTCTACCAGAGATTTACCCTACCAAAGATCTTAAGGAGCTTCTCAGCCCAACATGGTATGAGAGCAAGTTAGGGTAAAATCCTACATCTCCTCAATTACACCAAAAGACATGTCTACCAGAAAGGAAAGGAGCTCCTCCAACGGCTCTCCTGGTACTACTCCTACTCCACCTCCTGCCTCTGGCCTACAGACAGAGGAAGGCACAACAACGAGACCAGCAGTAGGGTCTACCGAAAAACCTGCAAACCAAGGCGCGGGCTTCGATCCAAGCATGATGGAGAAATTCTTCTCCTTCATGTCCTTTTACGAGCAGCATCAGCAAGGAGTACCTGCGCAATCAAACAACAGCAACAACAACAACAACGTGACGCCCATGAGTCTCGATGGCTCATCCTACGCACGCGGGAATCAACAACAACAACCTACATTCGCTCCGTACGAGCCCCAGCGCGGCTCCGTCAGCTTCATGCCACAACCACAACCTGCACCGGGACAAGAAAGAACGCTGGACGCACTACAAGTTCAGTCGCAGTTCGCGCACGTTTTAAAACTGCAAACGACAAAACCTTTCGACGGGAAGGACTTCTTTACCTGGTCGTTCGAATTCGAGCTGATGATGGAAGGAGCGCAAATCCTTGGCTTCTTCGACGGGTCCCTGCCATACCCAACAAACGGCACACAGTATGAGAAGCAGCAGTACACCTATCAATCGATGATGGCATACACGATACTACTGAGGAACATCACCTCTACTCAAAAGCTGAACATAAGGACTTACCGAGGATATGGCAACTCCGCGGAGCTCGCGTACAATCACTTGAAGAACCTGTATCAAGCAACGGACAGTGTAAACCAAAGTCGGTTAATGGCGCAACTGACAACAAACGAAATGAAACCAGGCGAGAAGGGAATGGCGTATATCAGTCGCTGCCGCCAGCTGCGCGACAAGCTTCTTCGATGTGGAGGATCGATTTCAGAAGACGCCTTCGTCACGGTTGTCATCAGCGGTCTTGGTCCTCACTGGCGCTCCACTCGCGCCATACTACGAGCACACGAGAGAATCTCCGAAGCAGCACTCTGCGCCGAAATCCATGCTGAGCAGCAAGACATGGACTTGCAAGAAGAACGACACAGAAAGAAGACATCAGCACCGGAATTCGCGTTCCACACTCAACGACGCTACAACTACAACAACAACAACCGGCAACAACAACCGAAGCCAGTACCTCCGTTCTGCCACATCTGCAAAACTTCAGGACACTCGCGTACACACTGCCCGAATCGTCAACAGTCAACAACTTCACAACGGCAACTTCGACCTTTAAGCAGTCAAGTCGCCTCAACGCAAGCAAATCCAACAACCTCAGTACAAGTCTCGACAACGTCAACGTGACAACCTACAAAAGAAACAAGAAACATCGTCAGCTGCATGGCAAGGCTGAGCGACTCCTGCGTAACTGAGTCACCACCATATTACTCACCAGAAGAACAACTCGACAACAGCACGCCTCGCCGCGAGTCACTTCAACCGAACCCGATGTACGCCGCCATCGCTCAAAGCGAACCGTCCGGGAAGGACACATGGTTCTTGGACAATTGCTGCAGACAACACATATGCTCCTCGGGACGCTTCGTTCAACGTGAGCACCGACTTCAACGAGAGGTCGTCATCACAGTCGCCAACAACCAGAACCTGCGCACACGACGACAAGGGATTGTACAACTTCAGTCACGAGAGACAAATGTTATACTACAGATGTCAAAGGAACTAATCGCGGAGGGACTCGGCTACAACTTACTGAGCGTCAGTCAGCTGATGGCGAAAGGCATACACCTCGAAGCACACAGCACCACCCAAGAATTCAAACTGTATCACGGGAGAGGAGGTCTCTACATCAGCAAGGCGGTCCTCAAGAACAACGTCTTCGTCCTCGACTTTGTCCCTGATCTTGGCACCGCCGACAGCGACGCCATCGTCAACTTCACCAACTGGACACACCCTCCAGATCTTGATCCAGACTTCAGTCCGGAAGGTTTTTGGCATTCACATACCATTCCAACAGCAGAACGAACACGCGCGTTAGTAACAATACAACATTCGGCAGCAGCAGAGACAACATCGGCAGCAGCAGAGACAACATCGGCAGCAGCAGAGACATCATCAGCAGCAGCAGAGACGTCATTGGCAATAGTGAGAAGAAACGAGGATGAATGGACTATGAAAGAAGTGGGTACAAGTACTAACCCTAATTGGGTTGTACCCCCTATGGGATACCCCACTACAGCCTACACAAATGTATAAGCTATATAATGTTCCGACACACCCCCATAGGCAAAGTGGGGGAGAACAAGGGGTCACAAGACCAGTCAAGCAAAGCAAAGCAAAGCAAGCTCAGGGTGGATCTCAAAGTCACCACACAGTCCGAGCACAAGGCCAAGGCCACAAGGATAGTTCACATGCAAGAGTACACATATATATAAAGCTAGACAAGCAAGAGCAGGTATATATATATGTAACAGTACAAGCAAGGTCAAGAAGTGAGCAAGTGAGGCAAGACAGGCACAAGACCCAGCTGAGTGCAGAAGCGCTGATGATCACAAGGCGCGAGTGCCTTGGTGAAGACATCAGCAGTGTTGGCCTCAGAGGCCACGTAAGCAAGCCGCAACTGACCACGCTGCTGTAGCTCACGAGCAAGGAAGTAGCGGAGAGCAATGTGCTTTGTTCTGTGCTCCAGTCCCTGCTCTCGACACAAGGCCAGCATGGCCTTGTTGTCTACGTATAGAACTGGAGGAGAACGAGGCGGCTCTCCGAGGTCAGTCACCAGGTAGGTGAGCCAGCAAAGCTCCTGTGCAGCCATGGCCCCTGCGTAGATCTCGGCCTCACAACTGGAGCCGAGAACAGAAGACGAAGGAGTAGCCCGCCACGAAACAGAGTCGGAACCAAGGCCGAAGGTGTACCCCTGTGACGACCGCTGCGTAGCCTGGTCGTCAGCCCAAGAAGCGTCTGCATGCCCAGTGAGGACCACTGGACTCCGCCCTCCAAGTACTAGCCCCATGCCGGACGTACTGCACAAGTAGCGCAACACCCTCTTCGCTGCAGCCATGTGCTCTGGTCGGTGTCTCCCAGGAGCAACATAGCGTGCGAGAATGCTAGAGGGTATGCAAGGTCGGGTCGTGTGCAGGTCATGAGGTACATGAGGCAGCCAACAAGCTCTGGATACGGGCCATTCGACTCTACGGACTCATCCGAAGGCAGAGCTGAGAGTGAGTGGCGAGTAGGCAGAGGAGTGGTCTGAGGCGAGGAGTACGTGAGGTCGAAGCGCTGAAGAACCTGCTGCACCATGTGTGATTGAGTCAGGGTAATGGTGCGGCGTGCTCTGTCCCGGGTGATCTGCAAGCCAAGGTAGCTGCGCAGTTCACCCAGGTCGGTGAAGGTGTGTCTCTTCTACAGCTCAGACTTCACGTAGGCGAGTCCAGCAGTGTCAGCTGTGGCAAAGACCAAGTCGTCGACGTACACGAGGATGTAGAACGGCGGCAGAGAGGTGTCGGTGCGCGGAAAAAGCGACGGGTCGGCAGTAGAAGGAGCAAACCCAAGAGCCGCAAGCGTAGTCCTCAGTGTATCGTGCGACTCACGGGGCGCCTGGCGGAGACCGTAGACTGGACGCTAGAGACTCCACAGGGTACCTGGAGGGAACGACCCAGTGAAGCCAGGTGGGCGGCGCAGCCAGATCTCCTCGTGCAGGCTGCCCTGCA